ATTATTTTAGAAGTAGCTGACAGGTAAACAGCAGCAGCTTGCCTGCAGTCAGCAGCATATGTTGTTTTCTGCCACAAGGCGATGCTATATTCATCTGTGAGGGAAGGACTGGGGCAAATAAAAGGGTGGAAGAAAGTGGCTGCATATTTCATTTTTCCCCCACGAGGCCCTTTAATGCACCTCTGTGTACTAAGGAAAAAACAGAGCTGAATACTGAAGCTGTGCACAGCAGAAGTGAAACCTACAATGGAATAGTGTGCATTACTGAAAAGCACATTTATTTCAGTGATTAAGGCAGAGTGGGGGTTACAGCAGACAATACTGCTGACTAACACACATGCCATCAGTGGGAGTTATTAATGGAAGCTTTAGGGCAGAAATGTGCACATACAGGAGCCAGACATGTCCGACCTACTGAGTCCAGTGCAGTTTGACAGGTCTAAAGCTGTCACATACACGATCGCCAGGATCCAGCATCCCTCCTCTCAAAGCCAACACCAGCTGCTTTCTGCCACATGAGTTTTGTTCACAAGGCAAAAAAAAAGAAGAAGAAGAAGAGGGAGATGCAGAGGAGGGAGGAGGGAGAGCTGCCAGGGCGACAGCTCTGTATTGGCCGTCTGAACGAGAAGGGGCTGGTCCGCCTCACTCACTGCTTCCACCGAGAAGCAGCAGAGAGTGAGCAGCACACACAGTGAACACACAAACACACACCAGTCCGAGGCTAGAGGGAAACCTCATCAGGAGCCGAGATGCACTGACAAACCCTTCCAGGATCCAGCAAAATGAAGACAGAAAGAAAGAGTGAAGACGTGAGGCATCAGAGCAGGCTGAGGGCTGGATAATTAAGACAAAGAGACCAACAAAGATGAGCGACTGATCTGCTGTTTCTCACCTGTCAGAGAAGTTTGAAGGAGTGTCGTTCTCATGGCAGGACCGACCCCACCGGAGCCTTTGAAGGTGACAGTCTTCAACACTTTCTTCATCTGCATCTATTTATTGTGCAATATTATTCATTTTCGTTGTCTGTGAGTGGATTTTAATGCATGTTTTTCTTGCTGGGTTCTCTTACATTAATGTTTCACTGACAGATTCTTTTTCATTTTTCATCATAAATTCCCTCCATTTATGTATTTGAGCTGTGTTTAAACTAAAAACACACATGTGGATAAGAAAACGTATTTGTATTTTCATTATCTAAGAATTTATAGATTATTTTTGATTTGTTAGTCAATTATTTACTCTATAAAGTGCCAAAATACATTAACAAAATGCTCCACATAATTACCAAGCATACAGCTTTATATTGCTTGTTTTGTCCAAAAAACAGAACCTAACGATATTTGATGCACCGTGATAAAAAAAAACAATAAGAAAATCTGAAAATATCCTGTTTAAGAAGCTTAGATGAGCTAATTTAAGGTATTTTTGATTCACTAATGCCTTAAACAAGTTTATTTATATTTAAAACAGTTGTTAATGTGAAATTTCAGTTCATATTTTAGTCTAGAAAATGTCAGAAAATAGTCAAAATGTTTTTTTTTATTATTATTTTTATTCGTACATGCATTAGATAAGTCTGTTCACAATTTAAATGGCTGGTAATGTAAAGTTTTACTTCATTTTTTATTCTAGAAAATAGTGAAAATGTTGCTCTAACAATTTTCCAGATCCCAAAGAGAGGCCAGTTAGTGATTTTCGTGCCTGATAAACAACAATTATATTGATCAAAATTGTTGCAGATTAATTGTCCTTAAATGAGCTAATGCTTCAGCCATGTCAGCTTAATTAACTCTTTGTGTCGAATGTGTTTTTGTGCTTTCGAAGTGAAGGAAATGTTGTATGTTACTGCATCAGCTCATGCACAAAAACCAACTGACCTGTGACATGCTGCCAGTCTTGTTCTGTGCCATGAAGCTTTATTTCCTTGCAGCCACGTACACATCGACAAGTTGAGCATGGTCCTTGACTCTGCTAAATGTAATGAAGAGCTTGGTGGTCTCAGTGGACAATGGAGGAGTGTTAGGTGCACCCAGCTGGCACCAGCCTTTCAGCCTTGTTGCCCGACACAGACAGTGTGGAGAGAAGAGTCGACAAACAAACAAACCTCCAGCCCACCACATCTTCTCCTTGACTTAGAGTAGTTATTAAATGTTCAAATTATTAAAAGTTGTGGCTTGGAGTCATCTGAAAACGAAAGCAAAAAAAAATGCTGCTAATAAACTCAGCAGTGGGACGCAATTCACTTGACTGATGGAACACAACAAAGGAGAATGCGTAATGTGAATGTTGACAGCTCACAAACCGACAAAGCCAAACAGAGCGGCGAATGAGATGGTGAAAATCTGCAGTCGTAAGTAAAAACAGAAGTGCCTGACTGCACTTTCAAAACTGTGGGAATCAAGACACCTCAGGCTGGATCAGGGCTGCGGCATTATAACCTCTGACCATGCTGGCTGTCACCTATACCGCATACTGTACAGCACATACTGCACAAACATATTGCTTATCATAGATGCAACATCCATCCTGGCACGGAGCTCATAAAAGCCCTTTCAGCTGGGAATTGCTGGAACAACAAAGCACACTGAGAAGCATATACCAAAGCTTTTCAATATTTTTCATAGTTGTATCAATTTGCCTTCAGCTGGAGAGTGTTCCACTTCACTTGTTCTCGTCTCTGTAGCATAAAGTAGGAATGTTGAAGCTGGGATATTTTTTGCTCCAGAGCATTCTATTCTGCTGCAGACTGGTTGTCAGATCGAGAGTTTCTACTGCCGAATGAAGACGTATAGTAGTTGTTGCATTGATCAGGAATCCTAACCTCTAATCAATGTTATTGAGCGAGGACATTAGCATTTAAAGGCAGATAATTTCCTTTTTGTGCACCGTCCTAAACTAACAATTTCATCAGCTTTTGGTGCAACAGCAGGAAAAGACTTTAATTCTTCCTAAATCTCCAGCATTATTTATTTTTTTCTAACTCTTCCTCCAGACCCAGCAGAAGTGTATCGCTGTCTTCGCCCTTCTCTGCTGCTTTGCTGTGTTGACGGCACTGATCTTCTCTTCAGTGGACATTTGGGGGGACGATGAGGATGGAATTACGGAGGAAAACTGCAGCAGTGACTGCAGGTAAGATGTTCTGCAAGCGTGATATAAGAGCATAAAAAGGCAAGAAAGTTTTGCTGTCGTATGTCATTGTATTCCTAATAGTGGTGCATGAATGTATCACTCCCCAAGTCTGTTTTCCAAAACGTACCATTATCTGCTGCACAGTCCTCAATGTAGACTCAGTTTCCTGATGTGTCAGTTCATTCAGGTAATTTCTGAAGTCTTCCTTATTGTACAGCATCAATTAGAAAACTTCCAAACTTCTAGTGCTAGTGGCAGTGTTAAATAGTTGAAGTTTTTCTCTAAAGCTCCAGAAACCTGTTCCTTTCAGCATCGTGCTAGTGGAGAACATCCCAGATGACCTCTCTCTCCCCGTCGATGGCAGACCTCACCTCCCTCTCTCTGCTGGCTTTCACATGCTGCTGGATCAGGCCAAGTACTCGGTTGAGGTGGTGTCACCTGTCTGGGACTTAAACTCCTGGGACCTGGAGCCAAAACCAAGCACTGCCAAACAGGTACAAAGTCAAAGCACACAGTCCCACAGAACATCCAACCAAGTGCAATTTCCCATGTGTGCAGCAAGAGCAAATGCAATTATTTTCCAGTAAATCTGCATGTCGTCTTTTAATGAGGTTAGTCCTGCGGAGATATGAGTGTCGCTCTTGTGAGAAACATTCAGAAACGCTGCTCAGATGCACCGCTACAGTGATACAGAACATTAGTGTCTTCCACAGGGTCAGCTTTTGTTCCAGAGATTGCTCAGCCTGAAATCTCGTGGGGTTAAGCTGAAGATTGCCAACAGTTTGACAAACTCTACTGAGCTGAAAACCTTGGCAGCGCACAGTAAGTGGCTGTCACATTTTTATGTCACAAAAGCTGTTTGTTATGTCGCTGTTGCAAACACTGGAGATTTATGTATATATTTTTTTTTTTTAATTTAGTTTTTTAAATTTATTTTATTTATTTATTTTTATTATTTTACAATATATATGCACTGTACGTATACAGCATGTAGCATCCCGGGGAAAACAGATGCATTTACAGCATGCAGCACCATCCAGCAGCTCCACACCATGTGTCAGCTTTCATACCTGCCAAACTTCAAAATCAAGGTCAAAAAATCATGAATGCGCAAATGTACCTGACTGGTTCCCTGTCAAAGACTTTGCCTTTCAGCCTGCCTGCCTGTGTTTTCCACATATTCGCCAGACAGCCCAAGGCCAACTGGCAGATTTCCACTATTCTCTCCATCTCATTCTTTAAAAACTTTTCATTCTCTCACCACTCTTTTCTGTCTCTGCGTCTCACCCCGTCCAGGTGCAGAGGTTCATTTTGTCAACATGGCAGCTCTTACCAGAGGAGGACTACATTCCTCATTCTGGGTCGTGGATCGGCAGCACATTTACATCGGGAGCGCCAATATGGACTGGAGGTCACTCTCCAAGGTAACAACTGGCATCAGCAGCATGAGCATGCAGGGTAAAATCTGACTCACTGCTCAGGTGTGGCTCACGTCTAAACTAATAAAAGCCAAACAAATTTCACTAAATTATCGTCTTTGCACCCTTCAGCTGTAAATGTATTCCACCTGTACCTGTTTATGCAGGTACTCCAGCTACTCTTAATGTGTACCAGGGATGATTTAAGATGCTGTCTGGGGCAGCCAGAGAAAGACAAGTAGCATTTCACTTTTCATTTAATATGTAATTCACAATAGAGGAGGACCCAGGACGCATTAACATATACTGTGACCTGAAGTGATTACCTGGCAATTTTAATGCTTCAGCGCTGGCTGGAGGGAGAACTACTGTTGAGTGTAATTAACTAAGGAGCCAGAGGGAAGGAAGGAATGGACACATGTATGAATATGCCCATACATATGCATTCTGTCCAGAGCAAATGATAGATAGGCTGGAAAGAATAATAAGGGAAAAGGCCTGAATTCACCCTCTGTGGGAACACAATGGACCGAAATCTCTGTGTTCTTCCTTCTGGGGCACGCACTAAAATAGACGAATCACAAGACCACATTTCTGCTGTGTAGTTAATGACCAGGCAAGGATACATTTCGAGCAGTTGTCTCTTGCTCTCTTCTAATTTCTCTGTTTGTACCGTCTCAGTGGATGGTAAATCGATCGGCCACATGGTCTATTGCTTCTGTCCTAAATTGATTAATAACTAAAATAATAATCGCAGGATGAATTCAGATGTAATTGAGTGCACATTTCTATGTTGTTGAATTTGGTTATCTCCTGATTTTACCTATAGGGGCATCATCTAATCCAAATTATGACACTCGCATCTACGTCAGCAGATCTTTTTAAAGCTGGCGTGAGTATGCAAACGTACTAAACTGGGAGGAGAAACAGGGTGGACATTACACCTGCTAAACATCTGCATGTTAACATAGCTTTACAATCTGTAAAATATTGTTAGGGCTCAACATTTAAATAAAAAAAAAAACAAAAAAAAAACAGTTTGCATAAATCTTTTAGAGTTAATAAAACTTGAAATGAAATTAGATTCAAGCAACAAACTATATTGGGGTAAACGAATTAGCAACTTATACAACTTATTAATGACTGATAACGTAGACGAGCATTACTCATAAAAATTACGTTGTTCCAACCAGTGTTTCCATGTTATTTAATTTTTTATTTTTTTTTACATGCTATGTACTTAATTTCCATAATTATGAACACAAGTTTTTAAGTTGACAAAAATGAAAATAATAACTTGAACCAATTAGATTTTTTGCAGTAGCTTTTGACTTTTTGCTGTTTTTATATATACAGTAGCTTTTAAGGAAAAATTAATTAAACAACACAATTTTTTGTTGTTGTTTTTTTAAAGCTTTATGTTTTTAAAAAAATCTGGAACTGTAGTTGTGTATTTGAACACACAATATTGAAATATTGAAAATCCAAAACCAAAAAATTGACTTTAAATTATGCACAACATTAAGTTGATGCACCATTACGTCATCCTAACTCATCAAAATAATGTTTGAATTTTAAATATTATCTTGCAATTATGTATTTCAGACTCTTATTCACTCTTCATTCTCTCCTCAGAAAAAGCTTTACCCCATTCAAAACTATTACCAGAACATCAGTCCTCATAGAATATCTCTATTCTCCCTCTAAAATCAGTCACTTTTCAGCCTCTTAACTCCGCTTTAATGTGCACAAAACATGCCTAAGCAGTGAATACAACAACACTCAAGCCTGCAACTTTTTTGCTGCATCGCCTCTTCCTAAATACTTCTTTCTGACACCCAACAGAGGAAAGAACTGGGGGTGGTGGTGTATAACTGCAGCTGTCTGGCTCTGGACCTCCACCGAGTCTTTTCATTCTACTGGCAGCTCCACGAAAGGGACTACATCCCCTCTATCTGGTCGAAGAGAGTTACAGCTCTCTACGGGAGGCACGATGCCCTGGAGCTGCAGCTCAACGCCACTCCGGCCGCAGCATACGTGTCTGTGAGGATCAGCTTCGTTACGTTACAGGATTAAGTGCATGACACACAAATTAATACCACATAAAATGCACAATCAAGAGTATGTATGTGTTTGCAATAACTTTTTATTATCCTCTTGAGGCACAAATTTCCTGCCTGTAGTCCGGATGGCGAATGTCTTTATAAAAGTTTCATTACAAACTAATAATGGGGGGTTGGGGGGGGTGATTAATCATGTTAATATCATGCTGAGGAGCATCTTGAGCCTGAATATCTCAGTACCTCCGCCTAATTTGACAGTAATGAATCTTGTTACCCTCTAAGCAACAAGACACTTATCAGTTGCATTTAGGACATTTATCATCCTATAGGAACTAATGGCGCCGTGCTGTCAAGAGCTGCAGGCAACTCCAACCTGCTCTTGTGCATCACTTCCTCTAGTAATGATACGTGACTGTGGAAATATGCCCTGTTATTGTCTTGGCCTCTACACTGTTCAGATCTTACGCTTAACCTTTAGGAAATTACACAACGACAGTATGTTCGCATTTTTCAGTGGAGTGACCATTAAAAGATACTGTCAGCAACATTTCTTTATTAAACTGAAACAAACTGAATATTAAAAGTTGTCTGAATGATACTTTAACCAAACTTGTTAGTTCTTTTTTGTGATTTTTATATGATTTTTGAGTGCAAACTTGTCCATCCTTTTCCGTAGACCTCTCCCGAACTCTTCTGTGCCAAAGATCGCACCAGAGATGTAGACGCCATCTACCAAGTCATCCAGAGTGCAAAGACATTTATCTTCATATCTGTGACCGACTATCTCCCTCTGGTGAGCAGGAGATTCAGAGGAACCTCAGTCACAAGGTACATGTGTGTTTGACATCGAATCTGTTTCTTTGTGGCAACATTTATGAGGTCATGTCAGGTAAACCTGTGTGTGCCAAAGGGCACCGAAACTTTTAATAAGCTGCATATTTATGGGTGTAGAAAAAGAAAAACTCAAATGTGTTCCTATTAACCTCAAATTGAAACTGATGGACTGTATGTGGAGCTGTGCCTTTAGACTGTTCAGCATTTATCTAATTACAAAGGTCGCATCAATAGGTATTGGTCGCCTATTGACGAGGTGATCAGGGAGGCTGTGGTACTGAGAGGAGTCAGAGTTCGCCTGCTTATAAGCTTCTGGAAGAGGACTCACCCCCTCACCTTTAACTTTGTGGCCTCGCTCAAGTCGCTGTGCATGCAGCTGCACAACTGCTCCCTGGAAGTGGTGAGTGAACAATTGACAGCTGCAGTTTAGTGTCCACGGTGAACTTGTGGACTTTGTTTTTAAAACTTTACTGCAGGTGATATATAATATCTTTTTTCTCTTGCTAAGTTAGTTTTTTTTTTTTTTTTTTACAGAGGTTTTTTAGTCAGAAGGAGCAGAAGGACGATATTCAACATGGACTCAACAACAACAAGTATATGGTGACTGACAATGCTGTTTACATTGGTAGGCAATGTCAAATGTGTGGTTTATTGGGGGAAGATTTTATTTTCAGTGCACATTTTGGAATGTCTTCAGTGCTATTTTGAAAGTATAGTGAAGCATTGGGAAACACACTTTTCATTTTTGGGCCAGCATTTACATGAGAAGATTGACAAGAGGGGATCTTGAAGGATCCTAAGTAGAAATCTATGGGAGAATTCCTGAAAGTTGAATGCTACGTGTCCTGCCCCCGATAAAAGCCACTTGTCTGCTTCATAACTGCCAACGGGTTGTGGCACCATGCATAGTGTGGTGACACTGTGCGCTTATTAAACCTTATTTTGGGGCAAGGTCACTAAAGTTTTTAATGCAGTTTTTAGCACATTTGACTTGTGATTCTCGACATTATAAACCTGGTGACTTTCTTACTATTCATTTACATCAATACCTGGAGTTGTTAGTCAAAATAACTGTTGAGGGGCATTACCAAGATGGCTGCCGAATGGCAAAACTTGTCCATTGGAAAGTTTGTTGATTCCACTCTCTTATTTGTTGGTTAAATTTGAAGTTACAGCCAAGAGGCCATTTGCATAGTTTAGCTTAGCACAAAGATTGAAGTTGCATTCAACTAACTTGACCTTGTCCAAAAAAAAGAAAACAGACCTACAGGTAACAACACCTTTAAAGGTGTTTAACCTGTACTAAAACAAACAGGTGAATTCTGTGCTGTGGCCTTTGTACTTAAATACTCTCAAACAGATATTTGAAAGGAGGGAGGTAAGACACAAGGACAACTTCTGGATACATGGACACCCCTCATCCCACCACACCCACAAAGAAGTTGCTCTGATTATTGTTCATCTTGTCATGGAATATGGTCCTTAGTTCAGTCGCACCTATCTTTGTTATTCACGTCAGCAGGTGGCGCTGTAGAGAAAAACAAAAGTCATAGAAACGCGTCCTCACACTGCAGCCTCATGTTTGAACAAAAATTTTTTTAGTGCTTATTGACTCACTTCATAAATATGAAGGCAAGGCAGAAAACTAAACATAAATAGACACAGTTAGCAGTTTGCACATTATTTGTCACCTAGTTTACAGCTATCATACAGATTACACAGATAGGAGCCCATTGTTTTCTTCACACTAAGGTTAACCAGCTGAGACTCCCAGAAGCCCCTGAGCTCTTCAAAGAAGCATCATCTAGCATCTAACCCACTGTAAAAAACCGACACCTGACAGTTTCATACCTGTTGGTTTTTATAAGGATTAAACAAACAAGATAGAGAAAGGTCAGCAACCTGTGGGTTGTTTTTGTGTTAAGTCTCATGGAAAGTGTCCTTGCCTTTTTTTTCTTGTATCCTGATTTGAATATCTAACTGAAAACACTGTTCAAAACCAAGTTAAAAACTTCAGAGTAGGCAAATTTTCAATTTCAGGCTACAAACAACACCATGTATCTTATTATCAATGCAAATGGGTTCAATGTGACTCATTAAATTTCCTAGGGGACTCATCCCACCCCCTTAATACCCACTTTCATGTCTTGTATATAAAGTTGTGCAAAACAAATAAAATATCTATATTTTTAATCTGCAAAAAATGCTTTATCTCATTGGCTAAACATCTGTCTTTCTAGCTTTTTTTCTGTGTTGTTATCCATATTAATGTAATATGCACTTTTTTAAAATTTTATTTTTTTTATACTCTATGGGTTACAAAGGGTTAAAGAAAACAGTAAAGTTCATGTACTAAGCAATGAGCTTTATAATGGGGGTTTTCGTGTGTGTGTACAGCCAGGTTGCCTAAGTTAAGCAAACACACCTCTTGGCTAACAAGTATTTGATCCTCTCATCTAGCTCTCTAAGTCAAAAGATTAATCAGACTGATTAGTAATTAATATTATAAATCATAATTTATACAGTGATGTTTGCCTTTTTTTCTCACTCCTATGCAGACATGGCAACACCAGGTTATATATCAGTTTGCACACTCATATCAAGAGGACAACAACAGCACTGGAACTCAGAGCTCATTTTCTTGAAGCAGTTACTGTTACAGCCACAACATCTGAGATTAAATTTCTTTTCGCCCACAGGGAACCACGACTGGGTCGGGAGCAACTTTGCTATTAATGCGGGAGTTGGGCTGGTGGTCAAGCTGAAAGGTGGCCTCAAAGACAGAGGAGTGACGGTTCTGGAGCAGGTCAAAGCCGCTTTTGAAAGAGACTGGAGGTCAGGTTACGCTAAGAGCCTGCAAGGAAGTAGAGATCAGCAGGGAAAATACAGAAACATGCAACATGTAAAAAACCCAATGGAAATGAAGGAGAAAAACGAGTGGAATTACCCTTTATCTTTATAAGCACAGAATGTCCTATATCCTAAAGCCTTGTAAGCCTGAATACTCTGGATCTGCAAACATGTAAACAGGTACGAATGTAAATCTCCAATACTAGACTTGACCTTGTGACCTTAGCTTAATAGATTCAGTTTTAGTCAACAATGACAATGTTTAAGCCAAATAACAGCATCTAACTAATTAATTAACCGTAAACTGTTATATGAGCATGAAGTGCTGCATGGATATTGAGAGCAATATTCAAATGCAAACTATAAACTAGGACCACAGCAATATGATGAATATATGATGTGCTCTTTATGTGAAATCTGTACACATCCCATCAAACTCACCGAAACTGTTTACATTTACTATTTAATGATGACGTAGTTACAGTTTTGATTTGTATTTTTTGAATTTGCATCGCATTTAGTGGGTTTTAATGCTACAGTGTATTGCCTGCAACTCTATTTAAGTCCAGCTCTGGAATGACATGCTCAGGCTTATGCAGTAGTTCGAATGTCTTTTTGTCACTTCATTGAAATTTTTCATCTGTCTTTATAAAATGTGTCTTTTTTTCCTAATTAACTGTTGTTGTATTCTTACTTCAGCATGCTGGGAAGCATAGAGGGGCTGACATGTACACACAGATTCCAAGAAAATAAGGTCAGGTGCAGCTGTGATAGTAACACACTTTATTGCTGTGTTTTGCCTCATCCTTAATTTGCTTTTTGCTTTCATGGAAGCAGAAGTAAGTCGCGCTGACTAATGAAGTGGTGGCATAATTCATATTTCCTTTTATCTCGGTGGCAAACAAACTGCAAAATGCTCGCTCAGAAGGCTTGTTTTGAGGTGAAGATAATGAAAGTGTAGTTTGAAACAGAAGTCTCGACTCGTGACATTTGTTCACATTGTAGGATTCAGATTTGCAGGATTTTCTCAGAATTATTAAAACATTTACGTGGCATTCAAAGGTCTGAGACCACATCAAAATCTATCATTTTTCATGTAAACCTGGAAATAATCGGAGAGTTTGAGAATTTTGAGCCATTTAAAAAAAAAAAAAAACAGAATGTGTAAAATGAAGAAGAAATATTTAAGGCTGCTTTATTTCTAAGGTTAAAAAAAACTGAAGCAACTTCATGGCATTGATCACATTTACACCTTTGTACAAAAGGTCAGATTTCCTGGAGTGTATCCTTGCATTGAAGCAGCTTTCACATGACACTCACCACATTCATCAGAAGCTTGTTCAAGTGAATCCCACTGCAGCCGCCTATTAGACGTACAGTTGTCCTCAAATTTATTCATAACCTCCCATTAAAGA